ATAAGATGTCGCGTGGCCACATTTGCGGCCGCGTGGTTCCAGGATCTGGGTTTTATAGTCTCTGAGTCTTGGCCGCTGATGGGATTACACGGCGCCAGGGGGCCAGTTGGTGGGTGTGACCCCTGCCTACTGGAATATGGAGGATCTGGGTGGAGGATGCTCGGCCCAAATCCGAGTAGGCTTGGAGATTTCAGCCCAGGAACCCGCGTGACTTTGTCCCTCTGCCAGTACCTTTATGTGTGCGGAGAGTGGTCTCAGCATGGTGGTGGCTGGTCCTGGAGGTCTTTGGCTGCCGGAGCCCTGGTCGGGGTGGGGAGGAAAGCTCAACCCGCTCCCCTCCAAGGGGTCCCGGCGAGCGAGGACAGTCAGGCGCGGGGGCAGAAGACTGCCTATATATATAAAATATAACTGCTTTATTTCTGAACTTCTTTCTTTTTAAAAAATTTTTTATTTTGATTTTTATACAGACTTACAAATTTTTATGATTATGATTCAAACAGTGTTCAAGTACCCATAGCTCCACCAGTGCCCTTTCTCCACCACTGATATTCCCAGTTTCCCTCCCACCAACCCCACCCCTTCCCACCCCTTGCGTCTGTGGCAGGCACATTCCCTCTTACTCTCTCTCTCCTTTTGGGTGTTATGGTTTGCAATAAATGCACTAAGCAGTCATCATATTTGGTCGACAGTCTACTTTCAGCACACATCTACCATCCTGGGCAAACCCTCCAACCATCATTTACCCATTGATCTCTTCTCCATCCCACCTGCCTTTTCCCCCCAGCACATGAGATTGGCTTGCAAGCCTTGGGGCCATCCTCCTGGCCCTTATCTCTACCATTCTTAGGTGTTATTCTCCTATGTTACTTTAAATTCCACAGATGGGTGCAGTCATTCTGTGTCTGTCCGCTCTTTTTGACTCATTTCACTTAGCATGATACTCTCCATGTTGATCCACTAATATGCAGATTTCATGGATTCATCTTTTCTAACAGCTGCATAGTATTCCATGGTGTAGATATACAAAGATTTCTTTAACCAGCCATATGTTCTTGGGCACTCATGTTTTTTTCCAGACTCTGGCTATCGTAAATAGTGCTGCAATAAACATAGAAGTGCAGATGTCATTTCTACTGTACTTTTTCACATCTCCGGTATATATTCCCAGAAGCGATATTGCTGTGTCAAATGGGAGCTCAATTTCTAGTTTTTTGAAAAATGCCCATATTGTTTTCCCAAAAGGATGGACCAGTTGGCATTCCCACCAGCAGTGAAGGAGAGTCCCTTTCTCCCCACATCCATGCCAACACCAGTTGCTTTTGTTCTATTGGATGTGTGCCAGTATCTTTGGCGTGACATGGTATCTCATTGTTGTTTTGATTTGCATCTCCCTGATGATTGGTGATGAACAGCATTTTTTCATGTGCCTTTTGGTCATTCAGATTTCTTCTTTGAGAAAGTTTCTGTTCATTTTCTCACCCCATTTTCTGATAGGGTTGGGTGTTTTCTTCTTGTAGAGTTCAACCAGTGCCTTGTATATCCCTGATATTAACTCCTTGTCAGAGGAGCATTGGGTGAATATCCTTTCCCATTCCCTGGGCTCTCTTTTCATCCTGGTCACTGTTTCTTTTGAGGTGCAGAAACTTGTTAGTTTAAGATAGTCCCATTTGTCTATCTCCGTTTCTACTTGTTTGGTCAGTGGCATTTCATCTGTAGGGTAACATTGCTTTGTCCTTCCACAAGAAGCTTAGGTTTATCTGGTTACACCCATCAATCTGGTTACACCCATCACAGTGTTCCTGAAGCACTTCCACTTCCATTGTGTTTATGTGTAAACAGTCTTCCCTATGCTCTCCTTTCCACCCAGTTAATCAGCTTTCCCCTTAATCAGACTCTGTTAATTTGTAAGATCAGTTTCCCAGAAATCTATGATTTTATATGTATGAGAGAAATATTGCCTTTCTCCTCTCCTTATGCCTTATGAACAGTTTACCTTAAAGTAATATCCTTTTTGTATAGATACAGGAAGACCATTAACATCATGCTTTGTAACAGGATTTGATTGGCTTTGAATATTATTCACTCCCGGGCATCTGCTTTCTCGACTTAAGCCTCAGTTGCCCTTAGTTCCTAACACCCCAAAAGCAGGGTCCCGACGAGGGACTGAATAGACCCAGGGCAAGCGGTGAGCTACCCTGGCAGCGAAATGGGCCAGGCCAAAGTGTAAGAGTTTGATCATAGACAAATGCTGTCATGATCCAAAGATAACGACGAGACTAGGATCCTGCTAGGGGTGGGAAAGACTATCTGGCCTGAGCACTGTAGTCTGAGATCAAGATGGCCCTAGGAGAGCAATTCTATAAGTTTAAGATATTTCTTACTGTATCAATATAAAATGATTTATATTATATATGCTTATATGCTTGTCAGACAAGGAGAGGAGAGACACACCCGTGGGATTCCGCTCTAGGGTGGATCCTCCTGCTGAGAAAGGATCTGTCTTAGGAGCGGCTTTCCCTGAGGCTAAGAGTTCTACCCCTATCGCACCTAAGTGTAATTGTTCCCCCAATTCCTCTTGGAGAGAGATATAATGAGACTGTAGATTGGGCAGAGGGGAGCAGAGACAGAAGCAGAGACAGACAAGAGAGATTGGTGTAGATGGAGAGAGGAATGAAATAAACTGCTACTAGTACCAACCAGCCTGGCCCTCGTTCCTTCCTCCGCCTTACCATCGCTATCGACCTCCCTGGGTGGGAGAAGGGTGAGACTACCGAACGCGGGCGGCGGGAGAGATAGAGCACCGCTGCTGGGTGCAGTGCCCCTTTTGTGTGAGTTTATACATCATCTTTGAAGATAACTTTACCTTCAATGTCGTGGAGGGTTTTGCTGACCTTTTCCTCAGTGTACTTTATGGATTCTAGTCTGCTGTTGAGGTCTTTAATCCATTTTAATCTGACTTTTGTGCATGGTGTTAGATAGAGTTCTGAGCTCAATTTTTTGCATGTAGCCGTCTAGTTTTGCCAGCGCCACTTGTTAAAGAGGCTTTCCTTGCTCCACTTCACAATTCATGCTCCCTTATCAAAGATTAGATGATCATATATTTGAGGGTGTGGGTAAGTATATTCCGTTCCATTGGTCTACTGCTCTGTCTTTGTTCCAGTACCATGCTGTTTTAATTACTACTGCTTTGTAGTACAGTTTGAAGATGGGCAAGGTTATTCCCCCCTCCTCCCCTATATTTTTTCCCCCAAGAATTTTTTTAACTATTCGTGGGGAGTTGTTGTTACATATGGACTTCAGGAGTGCTTGATCAATTTCTTTGAAAAATGTCATGGGTATCCTTATAGGGATTCTATTGAATCTACATAATGCTTTGGGGAGTATTGCCATTTTGACAATGTTAATTTTCCCAATACATGAGTAGGAGAGATGTTTCCATTTCCCTTGTGTCCTCTTTTATTTCTTAAAGTCACGTTTTGTAGTTTTCTTTGTACAGGTCCTTTACCTCCTTGGTTAAGTTGATTCCAAGGTACTTGGTTTTCTGCATCATGATTGTGAACAGGATTACCTTTCTCATGTCACTTTCAATTCTCTCTCATTATTTGCATATAGGAAAGCCATGAATTTTGGGGTATTGATTTTATAGCCTGCAGCTTTACTATACAGGTCTATTTTTTCTAGGAGTTTTTTGGTAGAGGCTTTGGGGTTCTCTAAATACAGTATCATATCATCTGCGAATAGTGAGAGCTTTATTTCTTCCTTACCTATCTGAATGCCCTTAATATCTTTTTCTTGCCCAATTGCTATTGCAAGTACTTCCAGTACTATATTGAATAGAAGTGGTGAGAGTGGGCATCCATGTCTTGTTCCTGATCTTAGAGGGAAGGCTCTTAGTTTTTCTCCATTGAGGATAATGTTTTGCCAGATAAAACATGCTCCACACGCTTGGACGAGCCTCACGCATGAAGGAACCGGCAGAGGAATCCAGGTGCGTGGGTCCTGGGGCTGAGATCTTCAAGCCTGCTCGGATTGGGACTGGTCCTCCTCCACCCGGATCCCCCATTTTCCAGTAGTTTGGCAGTCACACTCACAGACTATCCCCAGCACTATGTAATCCCATCAATGGCCAAGATCCAGAGACTATAAAACAAAACTCCCAGAAGCGTGTGGCCGCATATGCGGCTGTGTGACCTCTTAGAGTCTAGTTCTCCTTCTTGGAGAATCTGACAAGCTACCGAGAGTATCCTGCCCATAGCAGAGCCTGGCAAGCTCCTGTGGCATATTCAATATGCCAAAAACAGTAACAGTGACGTTAAGTTATTTATATGGGCCTTTTATTCCTTCCTGAGAAATGCTTGCAGAGCTATAAATTTCCCCCTTAACACTGCATTAGCCATGTCCCACAAGTTCTGGTAGCTCGTGTCTTTATTCTCATTTGTTTCCAGGTATCTTCTGATTTCTTCCTTGATTTCCTTCCTGACCCTCTCATTGTTCAACATTGAACTGTTTAATTTCCAGGTGTTTAATTTGCTTCTCCATTTTTGTGTGTGATTAACTTCTATCTTCAGTGCAGTGTGGTCTGAAAAGAGACGATGCAGTTTATATTTTTTCTGATTTTATTGAGATATGTTTTGTGGCATAGCACATGACTTATCTTGGTAAATGTTCCATGTGTACTGGAAAAGAATGTGTATTCAGTTTTTGGGGGGATGAAAAGCCCTGTATACATCTATTAGCACTCTCACTTAAAGCCAGTACTTCCTTGCTGAGTTTTAGTCTTGCTGATTTATCAAAAGGTGATAGGGTGGTGTTGAGATCTCCGACTACTATTGTGTTGCTACCAATGTCCTTCTTGAAGCCTATTAGTTGTTTTAAGTATTTTGCTGAACGTTCATTGGGTGCATATGTGTTTTACACAGATGCACTATTGAACTTATTCATCAAAGATTATAATATTTTGAATGGATTATTTTTAGTAAATATATATTTATATTTTGCAGGTGAACCACTTAGTTCCTCATGATGTCTGATGGGGACTATGATTACCTTATCAAGTTTTTAGCACTGGGAGATTCTGGAGTAGGAAAGACCAGTGTACTTTACCAGTACACAGACGGCAAATTTAACTCCAAATTTATCACGACCGTGGGCATTGATTTCAGGGAAAAGAGAGTGGTAAGTTCTTCATCTTGCTATACACAATTTTCTCTCTCAGTCAACATTTGCTGTCAATTTAGTTAGTATTATGGTAATTAGAAAATCTGAGGTTGGAATCTAGAGTTAAAGGTGATATACGAAAATGTATTTATGGCAATGTGATTTAAAATGCTGTCTGGGAGATGCAAATGGAAACAACAATGAGATATCTATCATCTAACACCACAGAGACTGGTACACATCAAAAAGAGCAAAAACAACCAGTGCTGGAGTGATGTGGGGAGAATGGTACTCTCTTTCATTGTTTGTGGGAATGCTGACTGGCCCAGCCCTTCTGGAAAGCAATATGGGCATTCCTCAAAAAACTAGAGATTGACCTTCCATATGATCCAGCAATACCACTTCTGGGAATATATCTCAGGTGTGCAAAAAAGCACAGGAGAAATAATATCTGCACCTGTATGTTTCTTGCAGTTCTCTTCACAATAGCCAGAATCTGGAAACAACCTGAGTGTCTGAGAATAGATGACTGGTTAAAGAAACTCTGGTACATCTACAGAATGGAATACTATGCAGCTGTTAGAACAAATGAACTCATGAAATTTGCTTATAAGTGGATGGTCATGGATAGTATCATGCTAAGTGAAATGAGTCAGAAAGAGAGAGAAAGACATAGAATGACTGCACTCATCGTGGAATATAAAATAACATAATATGAGACTAACACCCAAGGACACTAGAGTCAAGGGCCAGGAAGATTGCTCCATGATTGGTAGCCTGCCTCATGAGCTGGGGGAGAAGGCAGCTGGGATAGAGAAGGGATCACTAAGTCAGTGATGGTTGGAGAGATCTCTCAGGATGGAAGATGTGTGCTGAAAGTAGACAAAGGACAAACACGATGATTGCTCAGTATCTGTATTACAAACCATAATGCCCCAAAGTAGAGAGAAGTTAAAAGGAAATTGTCTGCCATAGAGGTAGTGAGAGGGGCGAGGTGGGGGTGTCTGGAGGGATACTGGGGACATTGGTGGTAGAAAATGCACACTGGTGGAGGGATGGTTATTCAATCATTTTATGACTGAAACTCAGTCATGAAAGCTTTGTAACTTACATCTCACTGTGATTCAATAATGTGATTAATGTGATTAAATAAATAAATGCCATGCTGAAGAGAGTGATATAAAGCCATTTTGAAGGCGAAGTAAGTCATGGAGAAGATGATTCTTTAAATTTTCCCTTGGTACACTTGTGTCTTGCATCTTCATTTCTGAACTTTATGAAGTTAGTGTATCATTGTTGTGAAACCTAAAAACCACCCTACCTCTTCTGCCCCTGAGCTCTCTCTCACTTGTTAAAAATAAAATTAATTTTTGACATTTTAAGCTCATTTTTATACTGATATAAAAACATAGAAGTAATCAGTTTAAAAATCACAAACACCACACTAGGAAAGAAAGTTAAATCCTGTTGCTTTTGGGGCTGGAGAGATAGCACAGCGGGTAGAGCATTTGCCTTGCACGCGGCCAACCCGGGTTCGATTTCCAGCATCCCATATAGTCCTCTGAGCACCGCCAGGAATAACTCCTGAGTGCCGAGCCAGGAGTAACCCCTGTGCATTGCCAGGTGTGACCCAAAAAGCAAAAAAAAAAAAAAAATATCCTGTTGCTTTTGAACTTGTCTAGTCCATCTCTCTATAAACCATGACAAAGTGAGTCTTATCATAGCATTGCAAAGTGTCCACATAATTCATTACTATTATATAGTATATGATTATATGCAAAAAGTATCTCCATCCAATTCTATATCCACTTAGAATGCAAAGTTAGAAATTTAGGACGAACTAGTCATCTTTTAATATAAAGCAATTGTGAAAAAAATCAGCTAATAGCATAAAAATAATATTCAATGCATTAAGAGACATGGCAGAGCCTGGCAAGCTCCCTGTGACGTATTTGATATGCCAAAAACAGTAACAACCAGTCTCAGAATGGAGACGTTACTGGTGCCCGCTCGAGCAAATGGATGAACAGCGGGAGGACAGTGCTACAGTGCTACATTTTAAGAGAAAGAGAAAAGGGCACCAAGGTAGAATTAAAACTACCACCATTCATAACCAATGCTCTACTGAACAACTAACATATATATATATATAAAATAAATGTTCCAGGCTCGGCGGACCCAGGGACAGAGCTTCTCTGCTTGCTCCCACCACCACAGGTGACAAAGGGATTCTAATCAGGAGCCCCACCCTACCCTGCCCTGTCTGCTTCCATCAACCACCCAGGGATCGAATTGTGCACAGGAGACCCACCCTACCCAGATAAATACCCCACTGGCAGATTTCCACTCTCGACACTACTTCCACTACCCAGCCGTCGCCACACTCCAGGACGCTTTCCGGACCCGCGCGGCCGCAAGCGGCCGCGCGACACATCATAAGACACTAAATACCCATCTTCTGGAATTGTCGTACCATATTTGATAGGGTTCAAATATGGTAACACCTACAAGGGTGATTAGAGGCCACCCCAAAAGCCTCTATCCCTCTCGGAAAGACTGGCAAGCTACCGAGAGTATTCCGCCCACACGGAAGAGCCTGGCAAGCTATCCGCTGTGTATTCGATATGCCAAAACCAGTAACTACAACTGGTCTCATTCACCTGACCCTGAAGGCTTCACCGACATGGCAGCACTGAGAAGGATGAGAAAGGAGAGGCCGACAAAATCTCAAGGCCGACGTAGTCTGCCACAACGAAGGAAGACAAAAATGATCGTCTGTACTTTCAATGCACGTACGCTAGCATCAGATGCATCCATCGAGGACCTGATGGTACAAGCGCGAATGATCAAGTACGACATCATTGGTCTGACCGAGACAAGAAGGCACGAATCTCACCATGCTGTTTTCGACACCGGAGAAGAATTGTTCCTCGGAACATGCGATAAAAGAGGTGTTGGAGGCGTCGGTGTCCTTGTCAACACAAACTTGGCCAAGAGCATTGATTCATTCGAATGCCTAACAACCCGAATCGGACGTTTACATTTGAATAGATGTGGCTCACTGCCTGCAGTTTCTATCTTCGTTGTCTACGCACCAACATCTCATTATGATGAAAGAGAAATCGAGAAGTTCTACATGGAGCTAGAGAAGTTCTATAAAGAAGACCACACCTTCTACAAGATCATTGTGGGTGATTTTAATGCCAAGATAGGACCGAGAAGATCAGCTGAAGAACTTCACATCGGGACCCATGGCCTAGAATGGAACGAACAGGGTGAGAGACTGTCTGAGTTCATCATGTCGACCAAGACCATTCATGGTAACTCACAGTTCCAGAAGGCAGAATCTAAACGATAGACATGGGAGTCTCCCGGTGGACGATTCCACAACGAAATAGACCACATCATATTCAATAGACGGTTTTGCCTGACTGATGTCGCTGTTGTCCCAAAATTTCGAACGGGATCGGACCACTGTCTCCTTCGTGCAAAATTCTACTTCACAGAGCGAGGAGAAAGGGCTGCAAAGTTCAAAAAGAGAACTCCCAGAATGACCACCAACTGGGAACTCTTTGGTACTATTGCGGCAACATGGGAAGATGCCATTGTTGACAACATTGACGAGGAATCGATCGACTGGTTCAGCACCTCCATGAATGTGCGAGGAACGCCAAGAGAGAGATAGCCACAAAAAGTCGCCTATCTTCGAAAACTCTTGAGCTAATTCGCCAGCGTGGTTTGGCGCATGCCTCAGGCAACTGCAAGCTAACGTCTGAGCTTGCAAAGCAGTGCAGAGATGCGATCAAGGAAGACCTCAAAGAGAGAAGAGCAGAAGTACTGATAGATGCGGCAGAAGCCGGGAAAAGTATTCGTAACGCCCGCCTGTCCTTCGCCAACTATAAGACCAAGATGACTGCCCTCCGACGTCCTGATGGATCCATCACATCCTCCAGAACGGCAATGGAGAAGATTATCCATGACTTCTACTCAAATCTCTTCGATAGCCATGTCCACTTGCCGACATACCAAATTCCACAGGATGGGTATGTCGTTCCTAACGTTCTCCCTTCCGAAATCCGCCATTTCGTTGGTAAAGAAGCAAACAGCACCCGGCCCAGACAAGGTCAGACCTGAACACCTGAAGAACCTGCCGTCAGTACTCATCAATACACTGGCTTGGCTCTTCACTCGCTACCTGTCTGAATGCAAGGTTCCGTCCCAATGGAAAACCAGCAGGACCGTACTACTGTTCAAGAAGGGAGACATCCATGACATTGGCAACTATCGCCCGATCTGCCTATTGTCTGTCATCTACAAGTTGTTCACTCGAGTCATCCTGAATAGGATTGGCAGAACACTAGATGAAGGACAACCATGCGAGCAAGCAGGGTTCCGCAAAGGATTCAGCACCATCGACCATATCCACACGGTAACCAAGCTCATTGAGGTTTCTCGGGAGTTCAAGATGCCGCTCTGCTTAACGTTCATTGATTTAAAGAAGGCCTTTGATTCTGTTGAGACGGAAGCGGTCATTGAAGCCCTAGCCAATCAGGGCATTCAAGCCCAATACATCAGGATCCTCCGTGAGCTGTATTGCGGATTCACTACCAGGATCTCACCATTCTACAAAGAAGTGATCGTTGATGTCAAGAGAGGGGTGCGGCAGGGTGATACCATTTCACCAAAACTCTTCAGTGCCACCCTCGAGAACATCATGCGACGACTGGAATGGGAAGGAATGGGAGTGACGATAGATGGTCGGCAACTACACCACCTCCGCTTTGCTGATGACATTGTTTTAATAACACCAAACATCAGCCAAGCGGCACAAATGCTGGCCGACTTTGACCGTGAGTGTGGAAAGGTAGGACTACAGCTGAATCTTACGAAGACAATGTTTATGAGAAACAGCCTTGTTCCTGACGCCCCATTCGCTCTCAATGGAACGACCATCTCCGAATGCAACAGCTATGTGTATCTAGGTCGAGAGGTCAACATGAGAAATGACCTGGCACCCGAGCTGTGCAGGAGGAAGAGAGCGGCTTGGAACGCCTTCAAGAACGTCGAAGAAATAGCTAAGAGGACGAAGAACCTCCGGCTCCGGGCACATCTCTTTGATTCCACTGTTCTTCCTGCATTAACATATGCCTCAGAGACCTGGGCCCTACGCAAACAAGATGAGAACGCCATTCAGGTCTCCCAAAGAAGAATAGAAAGAGCTATGCTTGGAATAACACGTTTCACTCAAATGAGAGAACGAATCCGGAGTTCTGACATCCGTCGACGATCAAGGATCAGGGACGCTGTCTCATATGCCAAGGTGTCGAAAATCAGATGGGCTGGTCACGTAATGAGATTTAAAGACGACCGTTGGACTAGAGCTGTTACTGATTGGATTCCACGGGATGTCAAGAGACCACGTGGCCGCCCACCTACCAGATGGTCAGACTTCTTTGTCAAGATCATGAACGATCGGTTTGAGGCCCTCCATGTTCCCGGAGCGAAGAGATGCCATTGGGCTACACTAGCACGCGACAGGGACAAATGGAGACGTTACTGGCGCCCGCTTGAGCAAATCGACGACTAACGGGAAGTTAAGTGATTAAGTGAAATGTTCCGTAGAGGTGGTGAGAGAGGATATCCCTGTATTTTTTTTTTCAATGAATTGTATTGGATCACCATGAGGATCAGTTACAAACTTTCATGGGTGATAATGTTTCAGTCATACAATGCTTGGACACCCATCTCTCTACCACTGCACATTTTCCACCACCGTTGTTCCCAGTGTCCCTCCTGCCACCCCCATCCCATCCTACCCACTGCCTCTGAGGCAGGTATATTCCTTCTTACTCTCTCTCTCTTTGAGTGTTATGATTTGCAATACAGATATTGAGAGGTTATCATGTTTGGTCATTGGTCTACTTTCAGCACACATCTCCTGTTCCGACTGATCCCTCCAACCATCATTTTCTTAGAGATTTCTTCTCTATTCCAGCTGCCTTCTCCACCCACCCCCACCCCCTGCTCATGAGGCAAGTTTCCAACTATGGAGCAATCATCCTGGCCCTTGTGTCTACTGTCCTTGGGTGTCAGTCTCATGTTATGTTATTTTATATTCCACAAATAAGTGCAGTCCTTCTATGTCTGTCCCTCTCTTCTGACTCATTTCACTTAGCATGATGCTTTCCATGTCTATCCACTTATATGCAAATTTCATAACTTCATCTCTCCTAACAGCTGCATAGTATCCCATTGTGTAGATGTACCAGAGTTTCTTTAACCAGTCATCTGTTCTCAGGAACTTGGGTTGTTTCTAGATTCTGGCTATTGTGACTGGTTCTACAATAAACCCTTGTATTTTTTTTTTTTTATCGTAGAGAGAAAACCTTCAGACGTTCACCATTAAGTTTATTTATTTATTTATTTATTTATTTTTCTTTTTGGGTCACACCTGGCAATGCACAGGTATTACTCCTGACTCTGCACTCAGGAATCACTCCTGGCGGTGCTCAGGGGACCATATGGGGTGCTGGGAATCGAACCCAGGTTGGCTGCGTTCAAGGCAAGCACCCTACCCGCTGTGCTGTCACTCCAGCCCCTCACCATTAAGTTTAAATTGTGAGTTTTTTGTAGATCCTGTTAATCTAGTTGATGATCTTCCCTTTAACACTAAATTTATTGACTGTATTTAAGCTATTTAATTTTACTTATAAATAAGTAAAGGGGGTGATTCCTACCATCCCCTTCACTTGTCATCATGATTGTTGTTGCAATAGGAAGCTGTTTGAATTTTTTAAAAAATTTTTATTAGTGAGACACCATGAGGTACGGTTGTAGACTTACAAATTTTTGTGCTTGGGTTTCAATTATACAATGATCAAATACCCATCCCTCTACCAGTGCCCATTTCCCACCACTACGGATCCCAGTATCCCTCCCATCCCCATCTTTTGTATCTTTTGAAATATGTTATTGTACTTCACAACTTTAGAACTTCTATTTAATATTCAGAATTTAAGTGAAATTATTCTTCTGATTTTCTTTAATTTTAAATACATGATTTTTGTTAGTTTTTAAATATACTTACAATAACTGATTTAATACATTTGTCTAGTAAGTTCAATATCTGGACTTCCTTAGGAATTATTTCTATTAATTGTCCGTCTCATCTCCAGCAGGAATGGGTCATAGTTTCTTATTTCTTTGAATATCTCATCAATTTTTTTGAAACTGGACATAATATAATGTGGCAACTCCAAAAATCTAGATTTCTCTCTGCTCCCAGGGTTTCTTATATTTGCTGTTTTGTTGTTGTTCCTACTGTTTGCTTAGTGACAGTCCAAATATAATTCTGTAAAGTCTATATTCTTTTTTGTATATAGCTGCTGAAGTGTCTGTTCAGTGAATTTACTGACCAGCAATGGGTGAACAATGTGTTTCTTAATTTCATCAAAATGACATGCCTTTCAGCCTTCTCTGATGGATGTAGTGTGTGCATGGAGCATATCTGTTTCGGTACATATGCTTAATGTTCTTGTAAGTAGTTCAGGGCTTTATCTCAACATTCACTTTCTACTTAAGAAGCTCCTCTCTTTATTTGTGTCTAGTCATATAAAAAATTTCAAGGAATATTTTTGAGTGTTTTAAATCTTCTTGTGTACATTTTATTACCTAATCTTTTTTTCCCCCTTCATTCACTCATTATTTATTTATTTGGAGGGGAGGGTTGTACATTGGGTCACACCCAGCTGTGCTCAGGACTTTCTCCTGGCTTTGTGCGCAGGGATCACTCCTGATGGTGCTTGATGGACCATATGTAGTGCTGAGAATTGAACTGGCACCAGCAGTGCAAGTGCAAGGCACACACTTGAACTGCTTGCCTTATGGTTTGGTCCCCTATTTTTAATTAAAAAATTTTGGGGGGGTTAGACTTATGTCACTGTCACTGTCCTCCCGTTGTTCATCAATTTGCTCAAGCGGGCCCAGTAATGTCACCATTATGAGACTTGTTATTACTGTGTTTGACATATCGAATACGTCATGGGAGCTTGCCAGGCTTTGCCATGGAGCGAGATACTCTCAGTAGCTTGCCAGAATGCTACCTATGGTAGCTGTGGTGTTGAATAATTAATTCCGAATGATTTTTTCCCAAGAGGGTGGGGTCTTCCAAGCAGTGCTGGGGATTGACTGTACCCCAAAATAATAAGGGGACCATGTGGTACAGGGAATTGAACCTGGGGTCTCTGCACAAGAATTACCTCCCTTCTCTTGAACCTGAATGTTCTGAATGAAAATCGGGGAGTTTTCAGATAGTTCTCTGGGGATGAGTCTTTTTTGGCATCTCCAAACCAGTTCTGCTTTCACTACTGACAGTGATTGCCAGGTCAATTATTTTTACAATTACCCTTATGGTGACTCTGTTGATTTTCAAGGCTACTGTGATTAGAACTGGGGCTGGGGAGTGAGGGTAGAACCAGTTAAAACACCGCAAAGCTGGGGCTGGAGCAATAATACAGTGGGCAAGATATCTGCTTGCACACAGTCAACCGGGGTTTGATCCCCAGCATCCCAAATGGTCCCTGGAACCCTGGGTACAGTGCCAGGAGTCAGCCCTGAGCATCCTGCTGGGTGTGACTCCAAAACCTGAAGCAAAACAAAATAAAACCCAAGGAAACAAATAAGAAAACTGGTAACTCAAAGCGTATTGCTTTTTAACTGATATTTAGTCATTTTTCCGCCCCTTGAATAAACATCTTGGAATGTTGCAAGTCTTTGTTAATTCCCAGAATTCTTAAAAAGTTCATTTTGACAACATGTACCAAGAATTACTTAAATGGAGGAAAAGATTTTGAGATTTTTCTCAGCCATTCCAGAAGTGCTTCCTAGAACATCATTTAGATAGGAACAGCTGATTTTACAGATAGGTTGGGGAAAAGCAAATCACTTAATCACTTAACTTCCCGTTAGTCGTCGATTTGCTCGAGCGGGCGCCAGTAACGTAAAAGCAAAAAAATAAATAAATAAATAATACTATTTCCTGACATTAGTGACATCAAGGTACTTTAAGGAAGGGGATTATTACCTTGAATGCAAATTATGGATAATTTGTATACTTCATGAGATATTTATAAAATATAAATATATACTTGGAATGTAAATTATTGTATTATCCAATGACAGGCACTTGGAATAAAATACAAAGAAAGTTGTATTCTAGATGAGATTTTCTTTAGTAGTTTAGGTGTTTAGTGGGGTGCTATTGAATGGAAAAGTGAAAATGCAGTGGCCTCAGAAGTTCTCTTTCTCTCTTTTGTCTTGTGATTTTAGGTATACAGAGCCAATGGGCCAGATGGAGCTGGTGGAAGAGGCCAGAGAATCCACTTGCAGTTGTGGGACACGGCAGGACAGGAGAGGTAGGAGACACTGTGTTCTTCCCAGAGAAAGAGATGACATTTATACTCTTAACACAGTGCCCTGAGCAAGAAAAGCCCAGCTGATTGCTCCTTTGCACCTGGATAAAATATGCTGCCAGATTAGCAGGAATTTTATCAGTTAAAATGATAATAGTGACTTTGTTCTATCTTAGGTCAATCAAAGGAAATAAAAATGAATTCTTTCAAAACTGAAAATCTTATGGACTTTCTTCTTTTTCTAAGTTGCTTCTCCTAACACCTTTCTCTGTTTACTTTTTTTTTTCTTTTCGGGTTACACCTGGCGATGCACAGGGGTTACTCCTGGCTCTGCACTCAGGAGTTACTCCTGGCGGTGCTCAGGGGACCATATGGGATACTGGGAATTGAACCTGGGTGGGCCGTGTGCAAGGCAAACGCCCTACCCGCTGTGCTATCTATCCAGCCGCTCTCTGTTTACTTTTGCTGCCAACTCAGCTACAAAGAAGACTGTGGAATGATATGCATTGTTCTTACCTGATTTTTTTTTTAAATTTTATTAGTGAGACACCATGAGGTACAGTTGTAGACTTACAAATTTTTGTGCTTGGGTTTCAATTATACAATGATTTTTGAAATCTAATGGGATGTACAGTGGTATTAACTCATATGGACAGGAATTGTTTGACCAAAGTAAGCCACATGAAATCATGATGTAAAATTGCTCTTATGAACCACAGTTTATGCACTTGCAGTTTCCTTGAAGGATTTTGTTTTCCTTTTTATTATGGAAACATGAGAACACATATAGAAGTAGAGAGAACAGTATAATGACCCCATCTACTGATTTCCCATTTTCAACAGCTGACAAGTTGTGACCAACCTCAGTTCATGTATACATGTTATCACTTCCCTTCCTCCAGATTATTTTAGACATTGATAATTCTGTGTTATCTCTAAAAGATAAGTGTTCTTTTTTTTTTCTTGGTAAAAAAACAACAACTTTGATTAGGAACAGATGAGAAAGCCTAATGTAGCAGATGATAAATTTATCTCAGTATTTTGAGCTTTTTTTTTTTTTCCTGGAACCTATACCTTTTAGTTCCTGGCTTTGAATGAAGGCAAAGTCTGAGGAAACTGCTGGAGGGAGGAAGTGAGGAGATAAACCTCACAAGTGAGGATAAACCTTGGCAAAAAGAGTGCTGAGTAAATATAAGAACAGAGTTAATGATGGAAGGCCAAAGAAATGATTATTGGAAATCAGATTCTGTAGAAAGTAAGACTTAAAACTTGGACTACATTATAATGTAAGTCAAACCAAACTTTCCCAAGACTCTGCAAATGCAAACATACACACAGCCAGCATCATTGCTTTAGTCCTATTTCACTCTTTCTCTTTGTTTCTGTTTTTTTGAATCAAACCTGGAGATGCTCAGGGATGCCAGGGATTGAACCCTGGCTCGGCTGCATGCAGATTCCCTACCCACTGTACTGTCACACACGCCACTATTTTACTCTTAATCAGACAAAATAAATGCTTGGCTGATACTACAGGATTGTGAGCTAATTCTTGTCATCTCTGTCCACCAGACTAGGCTTTCCAATAAAATGGTATATTGATGCTTGATTTTTAAAAATGATAAATGATATCTATCTTGGGGTCTGAGCAGTAGCACAGTGGGTAGAATGTTTGACCCAGGTTCAATTCTTGGCATCCCATATGGTCACCTGCGCACTGCCATGAATAGTTCCCAAGTGCAGAGCCAGGAGTAACTCCCGAGCATCACCGGGCGTGACCCCAAAAGCCAAAATAATAATAATAATAATAATGATAATGATGATACCTATCTTAAGCGCTTTTGAACTATTATTATCTAATTTGTTTGCAATTTAAAAGAATGTACAGATTGCTTTTTATTTTCAAAGAAAAATTTAAGTGTAAATTTTCATAATTATTGGCATTTTATAAAGTCAGTAATGAGTTTTATAAAATCAGTAAGGATAAATTATAAAATTTTGTAAAATCAGTAATGAGCTGTTATAAGAGACTGAGGGCTTTGTGGGTGGCTTCAGGTTTGGGGAATGACATCACAGTGTAGGTGACTGATCTGCTTTTATGTCCTCAGGTTTCGGAGCCTGACAACAGCGTTCTTCAGAGACGCTATGGGATTTCTTCTGCTTTTTGATCTGACAAATGAGCAAAGTTTCCTCAATGTCAGGCACTGGATAAGTAAGTGTAACTGCTTCTCTGCTCTCCTTTCCTTACTGACAGCAAGGAAATGAAGTTGTTTTTAGGGATCACCTGGTATTATATAAAGAAGCATGGCTCTCAGAGAACTGAAATATCTGTTTTTCACAGTAAAACTTACCTGGGTTTGGGATTAGAGAGATAGCACAGCGGTAGGGCACTTGCCTTGCACATGGCTGACCTGGTTCTATCCCTGGCACTGCATATGGTCCTTTGAGAACTGCCACCAGTGATTTTTGAGTGCAGAACCAGGAGTAAGCTCTGAGGACTGCTAGGTATGTCCCCCCTGCACCAACGAAACAAGAAAAAGAGTGAAATCGTGTGTTTGTATGTTTCTGTTCTCTTCGGGGTGAGAAAGAGTCCTTGTTACCCAATTAAGAAAACTTATATGTAGTTGAGATTTCTTATCTTCAGTGGGAAGAATTTCTCCCCCCTATTCACTGCTCTTTACCTTATCAAAAAATGTATACTCTCAGAGTCAGAGTTTGTTAAAGAATAAAAATATATTAATTATTGGGATCTGAGAAATAGTACAACAGGTAGGCATTTGCCTTGCATGCATGACCTGGGTTCAGTTCCCTAGCATCCCATATGGTCCACCGACCACCTCCAGGAGTACTTCCTCAATGCAGATCCAAGAGTAAGCCCTGAGCACCATCAGGAGTGGCCCCAAAACAAACAAAATGTGTTAATTACATTATGTGTGTTAATATACATTATTATATACAGATATACAAATGTGTTAATATATACTACACTTTTCCCCTGCCCATTAGCCTTATGGTTATTATAGGGTAAGTTAATTTCTTTTTCTTTGTCAAAACAGTAGAGAATTGAAATGGTATAGGTGCCGGAGAGATAGTACAGTGGGTTGGGCATTTGCCTTACCCACAACCAACTCAGATTCAATTCCTGGCTTCCCATGTGGTATCACTGCTAGGAGTAATTCCTAAGTTCAGAGCCAGGCAAAACCTCTGCACACTGGTGGGTGTGGCCCAAAATCCAAAAGCAAAAAGAAAATAAAATTGAAATGGTACATCCCAGATTCCAGGCAGTGTTGCCTTAGGCTAGTGGCTGACTCCTGGGTCCCGACTGGCCTGGGGAAGGCCTCTGTGTCCTCTGAGAGTGGCATGTGAGTTCTCTCAGTCTCTCAGGAGGGCCGGTGAGAGGGCTCTGTGGGCTGAGGGGCTTGGGCAGGTAGGACGCCCAGGTTTAGTTCTCAGAACTGCCCAGTCCCCCAAGCACAGCCAAGAACAACCCCTGAATACAAAGCAAGAGTAGACTCTGAGCACTGCAGGGTCTGGCCCCAACAACCCCCCCCACCCCCCTTCCCCCATACACACATACATACACACACTCACACACACACACACACATACACACAAGGAGACTGAGTCCTCTAGTTCTAAATTTGTTCTGCTAGGGCTGGAGCGATAGCACAGCAGGTAGGGCATTTGCCTTGCACACGGCCAACCCAGGTTCAATTCCTCCGTCCTTCTCAGAGAGCCTGGCAAGCTACTGAGAGTATCCTGCCCTCATGGCAGAGCCTGGCAAGCTCCCTGTGGTGTATTCGATATGCCAAAAACAGTAACAACAAGTCTCACAATGAAGACATTACTGGTGCCCACTCGAGCAAATAGATGAACAACAGGAGGACAGTGCTGCAGTGCTGCAGAAATCAGGTACCATATTCACTTACCTTCCTTCTGATGTGCCAGAGTAATTCCTTGGCCAAGAGCCGTATATTTTGTAAGGAAAATTTAAAGCAGTCTGAAGTTCTAAACTTTAATTCTGCACCACACAAAAGCTACATTTTAATATCCTTCTGCCTTTATATTTTAACTTATGTTATTTTTACAAAATCTTCCCCCTGCGTTAAAAAACATTGATTAGAGTTTCTTTTTAATTTTTTAGAAATTTTTTATTTTATAAAGTAGGTCACAATATTTGATTACACTTAATATTCAAACACCAATCCCACCATCACTGCACCTTCCCACCACTATATTTCAGGTGTTTCCATCCCAAACCCCAATCCCTGGCCCAAAGTAATATTTCCCTCTTAGGTTGTTTCCCTCCTACTTTGGATCCATAAAATGTGGTGTGGTACATTTTGCTCTTCGGGTCACACCTGACAATGCACAGGGGTTACTCCTGGCTCTGCACTCAGGAGTTACTCCTGGCGGTGCTCAGAGGACCATATGGGATGCTGGGAATCGAACCTGGGTCAGCCGCATGAAAGGCAAATGCTCTACCCGCTGTACTATCTCTCCAGCTCCCTTGATTTACTTTTTAATATAAGCAATCCAAATCTTTTTTTTAAAACATAGGAAAAGAGAACTAAAAGCCCCTTATAATTATCTTCCCTGATTTTTCAACATCAACATTTCTAGGGGCTAGAACAATAGCACAGTGGGTAGGGCATTTGCCTTGCACGTGGCCGACCCGGCTTCAATTCCCAGCATCCCATATGGTCCCCCCCACCATCGCCAGGAGTGATTCCTGAGTGCAAAGCCAGGAGTAACCCCTGAGCATCGCCGGGTGTGATCCAAAAAGCAAAAAAAAAAAAATTCTAAATATCATTACTACAACATTATATTATTTATATTATATTATATATATTATACTTCCAAGTGTTTTGCTATATTAATCTAGTGGTTCTCAAGCATGTGTACGCATCCAGATTCCCATACAACTTATTGAAACATAAACTCTAGGGGCACAGAGAGATAATAGAGCAGGTTAGGCACTTGACTTGCACACATCTTACCCTGGTTTCATCCCCAGCACCATATAGGGTCCCCCAAGCACCTTCAGGAGTGATCCCTGAGTAGAGGCAGGAATTAGCTCTAAGCACAGCAGGGTGTGACCCACTTTTAAACTTCCTGACTCCCAAACCAAACCAAACAAACACAAACAGCACAGATTCTGGGGCCCCATACCCAGTGTTCCTGACCCAATAGCCATGGTGTGGGGCCTGAGAATATGCATTGCTCAGATGATGCTAAAGTCATGCCCAGGTGACGCCAAGTCCATTGGCCCATGGGCCTGACTGGAAGACCTTAACTTAATCTGGTTAACTTAATCTTTAACTTGAACCCTCGGAATTAAGTGCCATCACTCTTGCCCTGTTCACATGAAGAAACTGAGGCATTGAAAGGACCATTAACTCCCTAGGAGGTAAATTAGCAGAACCAGGATTCCACCTAAGAATCTAAAACATACCTAGGCTGGTTTCTACACGCTCGGGCCGACCTTCACATATGAGTGAACGTATTCCTGGACCACACGGCCACGACACATCATAAGACACTCCCTACCCATTTTCCATAATTACCACACCATATTTGATGGGGTTCAGACATAGGCAACAAATCACAGAGGGAAATATATATATGCATATATACATATTTTCAGATATATATATATACCAAAGCTCACATCACCCAAACCATAACAACATGTTAATGATATCCTATAGAATGTCTTAATGGTTCCTGCCAAAATAGAACAATCTTCACACTGTTTTCTATATGAAAACTTTTTTGTAAGCATGTTCAGCAGTTTTTCACAACAGACGATCCAAAATTATTCTTTTATTTGTGTTTTGGGACAGGGATTGGGGCTTGGGATGGAAACATACCAAATTTGGTGGTGGGAAGGTGTAATGGTGGTGGGATGGGTGTTTGAATATTGAATGTAATCAACTGTTGTGAAGTAACTTATAAAAAAATAAAAAATTAAAAAAAGAGTTTAAGACACATCCAGTGGGTCTTGTGGTCCTGCTGGTGCCTGAAATTCCGGAGATGTAAGGTATTCACAGAGCACAAAACCACTCTGCAGACAGCCAAGTTCCAAGCTGTGGCAAGGAGACGCAAGACCTAGAGGAAGGGCGGAGAACCCCAGGAGGCAGGCTGTGGTTGAGTCCTGCAGGGTGTGGGTGACGGTGGATGTAACAACAGCCTGCAGGAAATAGGAGCCGCGGCTTCCATTAGCAATATGCCCAGTCGGGTCTTGCTTCTTTTTGTTCTTCAGTTGACCTTTGAGAGCAAATGTCAGTTCAGTGCCCTGAAATTCTCTGCAGAGGACCAGCTCTGTCTCAGTGCTTAGCTCCTGCTTTCTGACCTGATTCTGTCCTGCTAAGAGAAAATAACCTGATTGCATCACAAGGAACTGAACTGTCAACACTTCTCTGGTTAACCATGATAAGATGAAAATTAGGTCATAAACTTTCGGGTATAGGTGATTGTGAAAGTCGGGCTGTTTTAAAAATTTTTTAAAAGGATAACTTATATTTTTGAATTCTGTTGTTTATTACTAGTTTATTTTCTTCTGGGGGGGGTGGTGTTTGAGCCACAAGCTGAGATGCTCTGACCTTATCTTGGCTCTGTGCTCAGGGATCACTCCTGGCACTACTTAAAGGATCATTTGAGGTGCAGCGAATTAACCAGGGTTGACCTTACACAAGGTGAGTGTGCGTTGACCCCTGTACTGTATCTCCGGCACCTGCTTTAACTTCTTATTATAGTTTATTATGAAAAAGAAGATGATTCCCTTTCTTTGGGAGATAAGCTTAAATTAGCGAAGTTACTTTTATTTCTTTTAAAAAACCATGTTTATATGAAGGTTTTCAGATGAAAATCATTACAGTAGTGCTGCAGAAATCCTAATCTGCTTGTTTAGTTTCTGGTGCAGAATCACAATTCCAGGGGTTCCCTCCTCATTTATAGTAATCTTATTTGTTTTAAATGAATTTAGTCTACTTTAGGATTAAAAATGGTGTCTATAACAGATCATATAGAAGTAAATTAGTTTCTAGGAAGACAATTCTTTTTTTTTTAAGTATCATTGTTATGAAAAGAAACTATAGTTTCTGAAAAACAGCTATAAGGTTAGTATGAACACTTGGAATCCTGCCACTTTCAATCTTTTTTTAAATGGTCTTCACAATAACAAGGACTGATGGTGTGTGTGTGTGTGTGTGTGTGTGTGTGTGTGTGTGTATGTGTGTGTTGGGCAAGTTCTCATGCTCACTTGCAGGGTTAGAAAGTTCTCCAATATAAATGAGTTGGGATTTAGATATTAAAAGGACAAGAGGTAGTTTTCCATCTGTCCTGTTCATTCAGTTTGATGGACTGAGGCCTTGAAATCATTATGCCATTTCTTTCTCTCTGTGTATCTAGTTACCATTTTCTAAGCACTTTTGCATGGATTCTCCATTAATTTCTGACTTCAGGTCTGGTGATGTGGGTCAGTGTAGAGCACTTGTCTTGCATGTTTTTGTGATAACTCCTGGTTGATCTCTGGAATTGCAAAATAATAATAATAATAATTTGCTCGAGTGGGCCCAGAAACGTCTCCATCGTGAGACTTGTTGTTACTGTGTTTGGCATATTGAATACATCACGGGTAGCTTGCCAGGCTCTTCCGTTAATAATAATAATAATAACAACAACACTGTAGCACTGTTCTCCCATTGTTTATTGATTTGCTGGAACGGGCCCAGTAACGTCTCCATTGTGAGACTTGTTGTTACTGTGTTTGGCATATTGAATACATCACAGGTAGCTTGCCAGGTTTTGCCATGCGGGCGAGATACTCTCGGTAGCTTGCCGGGCTCTCCAAGAGGGGTGGAGGAATCGAACCTGGGTCGGCTGGGTCAGCCACGTGCAAGGCAAATGCCCTACCGCAGTGCCATCGCGCTGGTAATAATAATAATAACAGCGGCAGTATCGTAGCCAATGAGATGCAATTATTGCTAATTGAAAACTCTTCCCAATAATAATAATAATAAAAATATCACACTTTATTCGTTGTTTTCTTATTATAATTTTTTTCTTTTATTTATAGGTCAGCTACAAATGCATGCCTACTGTGAAAACCCAGACATAGTGTTATGTGGAAATAAAAGTGATCTGGAAGACCAGAGGGTGATAAAAGAAGAGGACGCCAGAGGACTTGCAGAGAAATATGGGTGAGAGTTTTTGTGCATAAAGATAGTAAGAACATTTCTATTGCAAATATCAGTGTATGAATGGGTAACAAAAGAGGCAAATTCAAAACATCAAAACAATGATGTATAGGGACTAGCAAGATAACAATGGGGCTAGGGTCCTTGCCTTGGATCCCACTTGCTCTAGTTCTGAATCCCCAGCACCCAACCCTGCTAGAGTCACTCCTGAGCACAGAGCCAGAAATTATTCCTTCCCCCACCACTAAAAAAATTTCCATCACCATACATAGTTATAGATTTTTTTTTCTTGTGACAAGAACTTGTAAGTGTTGTTCTCTTAGGAACCTTTCAAATATACAATACAATTTTATGACTTATAGACCCTTGCTACAAAGAAAGTACTTTCTTTTTGCCTCTAGTCAGTGGGGTTGGGAAGAATGGTGAGAGAGAGGTGTGAGCTGTGGAAGAGGACAATAAGGGACGTCACCTAGCTAGCAGCGGGGGTGGTTAGCAGAACAAGGCGTGGGAGGCCCATCTTTCTCCTGTGTGTTCAGTGCTTTGTTCTCTGTTGGACTGATGGAGAGTCCAACAAAGAATGTGACTGACATTAAAAAGAGGGTGGAGGGAAAGTTTGGTCATGTAGGAAGAAGCCAGAGTGTGAAACTCTTGAGTTCCATATCTTGAGAGTAGATTTCAAGTTTCAGGAGACAGGGAGTCCCGGCAACTGTGAACATGGAGGTTGTTATGGTGTGGAGTTGTTGGTGGGGCGACAGGAGAGTGGGAAGGCTACGTGGAGACTACAAGAGAAAGAGACATACATGGGAACTACAGTGGCTTGTGAGATGAACTCTCGTTTTATTGAAATGAGAAGGACTAAAGCAGAGAAAATATACCCAGGAGGGCAGAACAGGATTCCAGGATTCTAAATCTTTACTTCTAACTCATGATGTGTGTCTGGGGGCGGGGGGGGGGGGGGGGGGCTGGGGAGCGGGGAGGGGGGGATGTGATTTCCGGCAACTAGACTGGCTTACTCTGGCAAGAGCTGGAGCAGATTATGGAGACTTTCACTCTCGTAGGTGGTGAATCATGTTAGAAATACCTGATGAACTTTATGAACATATCTGACCCGATCACATGCTTTCCATCCCTCACTGCATGCTCTGATGCCAATGACGCTCAGTGTAGACCAGGTGTATCCACCCCCAGAACTACTGAGTTTCTCTCTCTCTCTCTCTCTCTCTCTCTCTCTCCCTGTATATATATATATGTGTGTGTGTGTGTATTTGCATATGCATATATCTATATATACATATCTATCTATATGTATCTGGACCTCACTTTTGAGTGTCTGACATAATTGGTCTGGAATGGTTTACTAGTTAGGGTTCAACTGAAGAAATCCATTGACAGGTATAAAGGTTTGTTATAGAACATGACCTTGTACAATGGTGGAGCTGCTTAAGATTCTCTTATGTAAGGGATCTTTGTTTCCATTTGTTTTGGGGCTATACCCAGTCATACTCAGAGTTTACTCCTTGCTCTGCACTCAGGAATCACTCCTAGCGGTGCTTGGGAAACCATATGGTGTGCTCGGGATCGAACCCTGGTCGGCCATGTGCAAGCCAAATGCCCTACCCACTGTACTAACTCTCCAGCAAGATTTCCAGTAAGGAATCATTTGTATTGATGCTGAAGGTGGTGTCCATAGGACAGGATTGGGAAAGGAAACAAGGATGTGAAATGGGAGAAGGCAGAAACCAGCTGGGACCAACAGTGAAAGATGAAGCCCCTCCGACTGCCATCTCACAGAAGTCAGGGTGGTGACAGAGGTCAGGGCTTTTTGTCCAGCAGGACATCCACAGAAGGCTGAGGAACCAGAGGAGTTGGAGGAGGATGCGGGGAACGGGGACAGGTGTGAGTCTGGTTGCTGGTTTCTGACAAGAGCTAAGCCAGTAGATGGCACTAGGTGTAGCACTGTAGCGCTCTCCTCCCGCTGTTCATCGATTTGCTTGAGCGGGCCCAGTAACGTCTCCATTGTGAGACTTGTTGCTGTGTTTGGCATATTGAATACGTCATGGGTAGCTTGCCAGGCTTTGCCGTGCAGGCGAGATACTCTCTGTAGTTTGCTGGGCACTCAAGAGGGGCGGAGGAGAGGAATCGAACCCGGGTTGGCTGAGTCAGCCACATGCAAGGCAAACACCCTACTGCAAACTGTTGGTGACTTCCCTTCCACCCTCCAACTCCCCTGACCTGAACCAGACGGGAATTTTGGAATGTGCTGCTGAGATGACTGGTTTGGCAGCTCTCCTGGGCTTGAGAGCAGTGCTTGAGGTGCTTCTGAGGTGGAAGTGGGTGAGGCCCACAGGTGACGGTTCTGGTGTGCCCACTGTGCCTCTAGAGGCTCTTCTGGAAAGTGGTGCAGAGAGGGAAGGGTCAAACAAAGGCCACAGAGAATATGGAAGTGTTGAAGCCCAGAGTTGTGTCGCAAGGGGGGGTGAGGTGGAAGTGAGGGATGAAGCAATGGAGACGTTCACCTAAACCATACTTTTGACAAGTGTGTTTAAAGAAGAGGCCCAGACCAGGGCAGTTAGCTTCCACATGAGTCCATTTTCAACTACTCGGGGGGACTTAGGGTTGATTTCTCCTTTTTTGGGTTTTTTTTTTTCAACATTTTGCCCAGTTTCCTCCTTTTTTTTGGTGGGAGTGTGTGTGTGTGTGATTATCACCAGTGCCCAGTTCCCAGTGTCTGAGGAATGGTTCACAGGGAGGGTTACAGCTAAAGATTCTGAGTTGGATTAAAATGAGGGAGAAGAGCTTCTTTGATAAGATAATTAAAACTACAGAAAAAGAATGTAGAAGAAGACAAATAGAATTTCTCTAGGATTTAGAAAATGTGAAATGTAGCTCTCTGGGATGTTTGCCACTTTTCGAAAAAACTATGATGGCACAGAGACCTTTGTCATCTTTGATAATCAGCATTTTCGTTGGTGGCAGCACTCTACTGAGTTCTCCCCCATATGTAACAGACTATAGTCCAGCTCATGGAATAACTACCAGTCCTATGATTGTGTGTTATCAAATATACTTAAATTTTTGTGATTATTATTTTTTCTCTTTTGGATCACACCCTGTGGCGGTCAGGGTTTAGTCCTGGTTCTGCACTCAGGAATTACTATTGGCAGGTTTGGGAAACCATATGTGCTGCTAAACCGGGTCAGTGTTGTGTGAGGCAAATGCCCTATCCACTGTATTCGCTCTCCAGCCCCCAGCCCTTGAATTTTTGTTACTCTTGTGCAAACTCTAACTTAAATTCATCAAAAATGGAACATTGGCTCACAAATGGTTCGTTAAAATCTATATACGCTTAGGGAATAGAGTCTGTCAGAAAAACAACACAGTGAACAACTCGTCCTAGAGCAGATGTGGAATATATGCCTGTGTGTTCTGGAGCACATGGAGCTAGAATGAAGATGTGAAGCTGCAGTCAAAAATGGAAAACAACAAAGAAAGTCAAGTCTACAGAATGGGAAAGGATATTCGCCGAATACACATCCGACAAGGGGTTGATCTCAAGGATATACAAAGTACTGGTTGAACTCCACAAGAAGAAAATATCCAATGCCATCAGAAAATGGGGCAATGAAATGAACAGAAACTTTCTCAAAGAAGAAATCCGAATGGCTAAAAGGCACATGAGAAAATGCTCTACATCATCAATCATCAGGGAGATGCAGATCAAAACAACAATGAGATATCATTTCACACCACAGAGACTGGCTCACATCAAAAGAACAAAAGCAAATGGTGTTAGCGCAGATGTAGCGAGAAAGGGACCCTCCTTCACTGCTGGTGGGAATGCCGACTGGCTCAGCCCTTTTGGAAAACAGTATGGACGATTCTCAAAAAATTAGAAACTGAGCTCCCATTTGACCCAGCAATACCGAACAGATGACTGGTTAAAGAAACTTTGGTACATCTACACAATGGAGTACTATGTAGCTGTTAGAAAGGATGAAGTCATGAAATTTACATACAAGTGATACTACATGGAAAGTATCATGCAATGCGAAATGAGTCAGAAAGAGAGGGATAGACATAGAAAGATTGCATTCATCTGGGGAACATAAAGTAACAAAATAGGAGACTAACACCCAAGAATAGCTGAAATAAATACCAGGAGGTTTGCTCCATGGCTTGGAGGTCAGCCGCACACTCAGCTCAGATAGAGAAGGGAGCACCAAATAAAGGGTGTTGGGAAGATCCGCCCAGGATGAGAGATGCATGCTGAAAGTAGACTATAGACTGAACATGATTGCCACTCAATTCCTCTTTTGCAAACCACAGCACCCAAAATGAGAGAGAGAACAAAAGGGAGTGCCCTGCCACAGAGGCAGGGTGGGATGGGGGGATGGGGGGTGGGAGGGATATTGGGATTAGTGGTGGTGGAGAATGGGCACTGGTGTACTCGATCATTGTATAACTGAAACCCAAGCACAAAAATTTGTAAGTCTACAACTGTACCTCATGGTGTTTCACTATTTAAAAAAAAAATGGAAAACAGAAAGGGTGAATCAGTTGCATGCTGCTCAATGTCAAAAAAAATTAATTTTTGAGAATCTGTTGACCTCTAAGTCCTGTCCATTTTTCTTTTTTGTTAAGAGATTTGTGTAAATTGTAACACAAAGCTTATTTATTAACAAAACAGTGATTTAACAGGCGAAGTTTTATTTTTAATTTTATTGAATCACCATGATAGTTACAAGCCTTTATGCTTTTAGGTTACAATCACACAATGATCAGACACTGATCCCTCCACCAGTGCACTTTCCCCACCACCAATCTCCCCAGTATATCCCCCCTTTCTAACTTTCCTCCTGCCTCCATGGCAGACAATATTCCCCATACTCTCTCTCTACTTCTGGGCATTATGGTTTGCAGTGCAGATACTGAGAGGTCATCATGTTTGGTCCATTATCTACTTTCAGCACACATCTCCCATCCCGACCAGTTCCTCCAGCCAT